TGTGTGTGTGTGTGTGTGTGTGTGTGTGTGTGTGTGTGTGTGTGTGTTATTTAACTGCAGAACAAAAACTTGTTTCCTGAATTTGGAGTTGAAGCGTAACAGAGCTGGGCTTTGCAGGCTATTTCAGGTTGAAGAGGCCTTGCACCCCCACCAGCAACGCAGAGTGCGAATGCACAGAAGGCTTCCACTGCTGGGGGCCAAACTGTGCCATGTGCGAGAAGGACTGCGAGCCAGGCCAGGAGTTAACAGAGCAGGGTAGGTTTGCTCTGTCCGCCCCAGCCCCGGCCGAGTGTGTGAGGCAGACATGCTTCTCACGGTCTGAGAAGGTGACAGGCAATGGAGCAGAGGCACAGCACTGGGGCCGTGCTGTGCTTTAGTTCGCTCACCTCCACTGCCTCGTGTTCCCGTACAGAGATAACTGGAAACCAGAACACCTTGTTAATCATCGGCGCCATGTGTTTTTACACATCTTATGCACACAACGTTCCCTGTACGGTTAGCTTGAAAATGAGCCGTGTCAGGCCTTCAAGAATCATTAGGCAGGTGCTGGGGAGATGGCATTTCCGAGTGACTGCTGCCCTTGCAGAGGACCCAAGTTCGGTTCCCAGCACCCATATCAGGCAGCTCACAGTGGCCTGTAACAGCAGCTCCCGGACTCTGTGGGCATCTGCACTCACATGCACACATACATGGGATAAAACATTTCAAAGATTTGAAATGAAGATAAAAATAAGCGATCTGCACAGATTAACCCAGTGAGCCATGTGGTTTGCTCCTCACAAGGAGAGCTGTGGAGTGGGGAAATGTCTCCTGTTGATTCTCAACTTTTCTTCAAGGTTGTAAAAGTTGCGGCTTCGGCACCTTTAACGATCAGAGCGCTAGCGGCGTCTGCCGACCCTGGACAAAGTACGTATATGTTCTCATCTGGCAACACAAGGAACCTGGGATAAGCTGGAAGGCGAGGGGCTTGTCGCTAGGATGCAGCTCTGGGGTGACACACCGAGGCGACTGGGGACTCCGTGAGCTTACAGAGCCTCGTGTGAATGTGGGCGTTCCTCAGGACACGCGCCCAGTGTGTGGTGGAGGGCAGAGGCTTGTCTCTCCAGCGCGTCACCCATTTGTGGTGTGCCGGCCGCTGGAGGGCACAGCCAGCAGCATGGGTTCAGGTGGGCTCATGCATCTGGAACGTTGGTACTGGGCCCTGCGGGCGAGCACTGGCCCAGGGGAGGTTTCCATGGTGCCTGCCTAACAGCGGTCTAGAGCACACTGCCTCAGAGACCGTGGAGGCCAGTTGGCAGCTATATGGGCTGCTGACTCCGATGATAAAATCTCATTTCAAATGCCCGTGACCTTCTGTTTCCTTTCCTTAGTAGAAAGTGAGTCTTTTTTGTTACTTTGGTTACATGTTTGTTTATAATGTTTTACAGATGTACTGGTAAATTACAGACTAGAATTCTTTTTATAGGCCTTTCAACTTAAATTGATTAGAATGTTCAAGTTAGTGTTTATAAAATGGGGGCATGAACAGGGATCTAAAGGAGAGAGCCTATGTGACGGTGGTGATGATGGTGATGATGATGATGGTGGTGGTGATGATGGTGATGATGATGGTGATGATGATGGTGGTGGTGATGATGGTGATGATGACGGTGATGATGACGGTGATGATGGTGGGTGATAGTGACTGCGGTGAGG